TGGCTTGTATTTGTATGTATCTTTCAATTCATACACAACAAAAGCAACAAAAAAATATATGTCACCTAACCACTTAAACTAAAAAAAGCCTCCAGATATATAATATATGTATAATCAGTACATAATTATGTATATCGATTAGGAAAAGTAAACATGCAAAGTTCATATTGGGAGAGACTTTCTGTTTGGGCTATTTGTCTGGCCCAATAGTCTTGAGGGCTTGTATTGGTTATTTCATATAGGAATCAGATTGGCCCATTAGGAAAAAATTTGAGGAAAAAGAAAAATGCAAACCGCCCACCGTGGGGCTCGAACCGACGACCACAAGGTTAGGAGCCTTGCGCTCTACCAACTGAGCTAGACGGGGTTCTTGCTTCAGCCAATTGAGTACACTCACTTGTTTGGTGAAGAGAGAAAATCGCAAAGTTGACTATCAAATTGCGCTTATTGTTTAACCTCTAGGAATAAATTGCAAATATTGCTGGTATTTATTTTGTACGGTGACAGTATATTGTATATAAATTGTATAGTGACGGTGTATTTTGTATAGTGACAGTCTATTTTGTATATATTTTGTAATATACCAATATTCAAATTTATTTTCACCGAAAAAAATACAAAAATATCCATGTAAATATATACGCCTGAAATTAAATTATTTAAAATTATATACCAGATATTTGTTCTAAACCAAACTACAATTGTTCCTTAATAATACACATGAAAGAAAGAGGTTACAAGGTAAAGGATTTCTAGGATCCTTTCTGGGAAACAAAGGAAAATAAAACATCCCTCATCAAGATCATAAATGTTACTTTAGCATATGAATCCCTTCCTCAAGGATTTGCAAGAATCATCATCTCTAACAAACTCCACGGTGCAACATCTCATCAAGTCAAATCCACATCAAGGATTAGGCCATCAATTTCATCCCCGGAGACACCAAAGTCAAAAGGAGTTGCCAGAGAATCGTCGGAGCAACAACTCAAGATAAAATCAAATATGGAGGAAGAGAATTCAAACTCTAATTCCAAGTCTTCGGCTGAACAACGGCGACATCCGCTTGCCGACATAGCAGGGGAGTGCGTTAAGCTATGGTTTCAAGACACTCTTAAGGAGGCTAAAGCTGGGGATACAGCTATGCAAGTGCTTGTGGGTCAGATGTATAATTCGGTCGCTTGCCATTAGAATTACTTTTGGACTATAAAATGTATATTGTACTTTTGGGCTACCGGATGTTATAAGTTTGGCCCAAGTGGCTATAAATGAATTTTGCACTTGTTTCATATGGGAATCAGATTGGCCCATTAATTAGGAAAAAATTTAAGGAAAAAGAAATACGCCCACCGTGGGGCTCGAACCCACGACCACAAGGTTAAGAGCCTTGCGCTCTACCAACTGAGCTAGACGGGCTTCTTGCTTCAGCCGATTGAATACCTCTAATTGTTTGCTGGAGACTAAAAATGCAAAGTTGACTATCAAATTGCGCTTATTGTTTAACCTCGCTGGCTCGCTCTAGGCATAAATTGCAAATCTTGCTGGTATTTATTTTTAACAAGTAGTCAAATACTTATCATTTACTTACTTCTAACTTCTAGGAATTAAGGACCATTATCACCCCAAAAGAGGGTCGAATTGACATCGATTCTAAGGTAGAGCTCTTAGTATCTTAGCTACATGATTTTAATTAAAACAAGGAGAGCGAAAACGAGGGGGAAATCTAATTCTGATATAGAATGTTTGATAAAAAATACTACTATTAGTAACTCATTGCATATGTACTAAGTAACCTTAGAATAGGGATGCTAACTTCACAAAACAACTATTAAAGCCATTTGGACACCTGAAGAGGATGGAGGGCATATTTTCTGGTATTGAGAAAATGAGATGTTGCTCTTTCTTCTTTTTTAGGATGTAATATGATAGTGTTTACAACTTTTCTATATAGGTGCAAATATTTTCATAACAACATTCTGGCTGATGTTTACAAATTACAACCATCAGGCTCAAGTTGAGTCCAATTTTGGGTGATATAGACATAGTGTATAGTCCAATTACGACAAAGCCAGAAGTAGTATCAGTACTATACCCATGGAATCAAAGTACGCTTAAACTGGTTATTTGGTACGGTTATAGACTTAAGTGTAAAATGTGGCACTGCTTCAGTTCTCAGAGGACATACCATTGATAGAAAAGCGTGAAGGTCGAGAATTAGGGTAAAAGCTTAGTGAGCATATCATTTGTACATACCAGTAGTATTAGTATTATTCTCATATTTTCTGGTATTGAGAAAATGAGATGTTGCTCTTTCTTCTTTTTTAGGATGTAATATGATAGTGTTTACAACTTTTCTATATAGGTGCAAATATTTTCATAACAACATTCTGGCTGATGTTTACAAATTACAACCATCAGGCTCAAGTTGAGTCCAATTTTGGGTGATATAGACATAGTGTATAGTCCAATTACGACAAAGCCAGAAGTAGTATCAGTACTATACCCATGGAATCAAAGTACGCTTAAACTGGTTATTTGGTACGGTTATAGACTTAAGTGTAAAATGTGGCACTGCTTCAGTTCTCAGAGGACATACCATTGATAGAAAAGCGTGAAGGTCGAGAATTAGGGTAAAAGCTTAGTGAGCATATCATTTGTACATACCAGTAGTATTAGTATTATTCTCATATTTTCTGGTATTGAGAAAATGAGATGTTGCTCTTTCTTCTTTTTTAGGATGTAATATGATAGTGTTTACAACTTTTCTATATAGGTGCAAATATTTTCATAACAACATTCTGGCTGATGTTTACAAATTACAACCATCAGGCTCAAGTTGAGTCCAATTTTGGGTGATATAGACATAGTGTATAGTCCAATTACGACAAAGCCAGAAGTAGTATCAGTACTATACCCATGGAATCAAAGTACGCTTAAACTGGTTATTTGGTACGGTTATAGACTTAAGTGTAAAATGTGGCACTGCTTCAGTTCTCAGAGGACATACCATTGATAGAAAAGCGTGAAGGTCGAGAATTAGGGTAAAAGCTTAGTGAGCATATCATTTGTACATACCAGTAGTATTAGTATTATTCTCATATTTTCTGGTATTGAGAAAATGAGATGTTGCTCTTTCTTCTTTTTTAGGATGTAATATGATAGTGTTTACAACTTTTCTATATAGGTGCAAATATTTTCATAACAACATTCTGGCTGATGTTTACAAATTACAACCATCAGGCTCAAGTTGAGTCCAATTTTGGGTGATATAGACATAGTGTATAGTCCAATTACGACAAAGCCAGAAGTAGTATCAGTACTATACCCATGGAATCAAAGTACGCTTAAACTGGTTATTTGGTACGGTTATAGACTTAAGTGTAAAATGTGGCACTGCTTCAGTTCTCAGAGGACATACCATTGATAGAAAAGCGTGAAGGTCGAGAATTAGGGTAAAAGCTTAGTGAGCATATCATTTGTACATACCAGTAGTATTAGTATTATTCTCATATTTTCTGGTATTGAGAAAATGAGATGTTGCTCTTTCTTCTTTTTTAGGATGTAATATGATAGTGTTTACAACTTTTCTATATAGGTGCAAATATTTTCATAACAACATTCTGGCTGATGTTTACAAATTACAACCATCAGGCTCAAGTTGAGTCCAATTTTGGGTGATATAGACATAGTGTATAGTCCAATTACGACAAAGCCAGAAGTAGTATCAGTACTATACCCATGGAATCAAAGTACGCTTAAACTGGTTATTTGGTACGGTTATAGACTTAAGTGTAAAATGTGGCACTGCTTCAGTTCTCAGAGGACATACCATTGATAGAAAAGCGTGAAGGTCGAGAATTAGGGTAAAAGCTTAGTGAGCATATCATTTGTACATACCAGTAGTATTAGTATTATTCTCATATTTTCTGGTATTGAGAAAATGAGATGTTGCTCTTTCTTCTTTTTTAGGATGTAATATGATAGTGTTTACAACTTTTCTATATAGGTGCAAATATTTTCATAACAACATTCTGGCTGATGTTTACAAATTACAACCATCAGGCTCAAGTTGAGTCCAATTTTGGGTGATATAGACATAGTGTATAGTCCAATTACGACAAAGCCAGAAGTAGTATCAGTACTATACCCATGGAATCAAAGTACGCTTAAACTGGTTATTTGGTACGGTTATAGACTTAAGTGTAAAATGTGGCACTGCTTCAGTTCTCAGAGGACATACCATTGATAGAAAAGCGTGAAGGTCGAGAATTAGGGTAAAAGCTTAGTGAGCATATCATTTGTACATACCAGTAGTATTAGTATTATTCTCATATTTTCTGGTATTGAGAAAATGAGATGTTGCTCTTTCTTCTTTTTTAGGATGTAATATGATAGTGTTTACAACTTTTCTATATAGGTGCAAATATTTTCATAACAACATTCTGGCTGATGTTTACAAATTACAACCATCAGGCTCAAGTTGAGTCCAATTTTGGGTGATATAGACATAGTGTATAGTCCAATTACGACAAAGCCAGAAGTAGTATCAGTACTATACCCATGGAATCAAAGTACGCTTAAACTGGTTATTTGGTACGGTTATAGACTTAAGTGTAAAATGTGGCACTGCTTCAGTTCTCAGAGGACATACCATTGATAGAAAAGCGTGAAGGTCGAGAATTAGGGTAAAAGCTTAGTGAGCATATCATTTGTACATACCAGTAGTATTAGTATTATTCTCATATTTTCTTATTCTTCGATTTTACAACTACCTATTGTTTCTTTCATCTTTGATTGTCTTATCATCTTGTTGTTACTGCTTCCTTTCCGCATCTTTCCTTCAGCAGAAGGTCTATCACAAACAGCCTCTCTACCTTCACAAGGTACAAGGTAGGGATATCTGCATACACATTACCCTCCCTAAACCCTACTTCACTATGTTCATTGAGTCGTTGTATTCATGGATACTTTTAGCAGAAAACAAATCCCCTCTACATTAAACGTCAAGAAAAATCCCCTCTACATTAAACGTCAAGAAAAATCAACCCTATATCTGTTGACGCAACAGTATTCTAAGTTCATCAACTCAAGCTACAGCTAAAATTCATTTCACAATTTTAAGAAAGATCCAACTAATACTATCTGCAGTTCTATACTAATCAAACTTTAACATGTTTGGCAAACGAAACAAAGTTTGGGGTCAAAACACTCCCCAAAAGACTACAAAGAGGTTGTTACTCATAGGCACCATGAAAACTTCCTACATTAACACATTCTGAACAACGGATGTAGACAACCTAAAACAAATGATGCTTCAAAGAGTTTACCAGGCTAAGTCCATTCTAGAATTAGTCATCTTTGCAATCTTTTGCTGAAACTCCATTTTGTTCACCATTGACATTTGAAGCTCCCTTTAACTGGGGAAACAACAACATTATCAGCTGAAAAGGCATAAATCAATTGGCAAATAAACACGGATTTTAAATTAAACACTACGACCTACAGTTTCATCCACTTTATTAACCATATGGTACGACTTATTAGGTAGTTTCTACTCCGTACTGGGTGTAAGGCTAGTCTGATAGTGTCTTGTCTTAGAATGCTAGTGGTACATGTTGTGTTCATACTATTTTTCCGCTCCGGTTTCCTAGTACCTTGCCATTGTTAATGGTTATTGATATTGCTTTTTTCCATTTATTTTTCTGCGACTCGCTGGTACTATCTTTCTGGCCTCTGTTTCTTTACTGTTCTATTGTCTCATTTCATCTTCTTGAGCCGAGTGTCTATCGGAAACCTCTCTACCCACCACGAAAGGGGTAAGGTCTGCGTACATACTACCCTCCCCAAACCCCACTTGTCGGATTATACTGGGTTATTATTGTTGTTGTTATTAGTTTCATTACCACAAGTAATAACCATTTATTTGGATAGCCTTATGGTGTTTATATGATGAAAGATATCAAACTCCATTGAAATTTTTAATACCCAAGAATGCAGTTCTTTTTGTTTAAAACTACCAAATGGAAAGTAGTCACAGTAGCATTACCTGCTGGAGGACCTTCTTTTGATAGCGATAGCCCTGTGATAAAGAAACAGTACACATAAGAATTTGTGTGGTTACAAAGGATCTCGTACCCGATAATAAAATATCCACAGCACTGAAATCACCTTATCAGTTCCATAAATGTAATCGCAGTAGGTGAAAACTGAAGCAAAATTACTCTGGCTTTGGCCCCCAACGTAGTGATGGTAGTCATGGTAATCCGGTCCACCATAAAAAGGTATATACTTTGTGATAGTCCAAGGAAGGTCATATCTGTATTAAGAATGATGAAAATAGATCGGTTAAAACATGCTCCAATCACCATACTTACTCATGCGTGAAGTAGGGAGCAATACAAAAGAATTCTCTGCATAAAACATAGGTAATGTTGCCAGCAAAAGATTCAACGATGTACAGCTAAACTGAGCAATTAAAGGTACTAATTGTCAGTTCTAATCGATCACTCAGGTGTGTAAGATTGAGTACACCAATTTCCCAATACCAGGAGTCAAAGAGAAATAATCTTCTAAACATATATAAACAAGCTAATACAAAAAGAATTGATCCCAGGAAACAGGATTAGCAATAATTCATCTGCTACTCCTAACCGGATCTATGTACATGAATGATTAAACATAAGTATGATGCTAAACTATGCCATTTTTCATATTTTGAATTCTGAGATGCTCAAAATTTATCACATTCACAACAGACATTTCTCAAGAACGAGGTGTCTCAGCCGCTTCTCAGCCCATACTATTTCTGTCAATAGTCTCCAGTATTTAGTTTCAACGAATAATGCATTATTTCAGCTTCTTTTTTAACTTTTGAGATGCTGCGACTAAATAGAACTTGTTGAAATTGAGACCAACACTATGAGTGAATCTTACTCTTATGACGTTATACCAATAAGAACCACATAATATTTTTAGTTGTCCTATTGGAAGAACTACAAAAATTCAACTGAGAAGCAATTTTACATTATAATGCTTAAAATAAAAAACTTCTTGTTCTTAGTATTGCCTTACATGATGCAAGAAGAAAAATTTGAATAACAAACAAAGATATTATCACCGAGATACAAACATAAGGAGTACTTTTTTCTGCTCCTCACACACTATTATCATATTCTCCAGGCAGTTGCTAGTAGTTGTTACATGCATATTATACACTTGCAGAGTGGTATCAATCACTGTCCCTCCAAATAGAAAGATTTGCTTAACTTTGACAACTATTCGTCAATCTTGTTTGCTTTAAGTCCAGTCTAGATCATATATAATAATCATTGTTGAAGACATAATTAAGTAAATAAAAATATGTTCTCTCTAACAGCTTCAACTTTTAGATGAGATGGTCACACACTTCAACATGGTATATGAGCCAGGCTGAGGTCCTGGGTTCGAGTCTTCGTCACCCAATATCAAAAGAATTTTCACGTGCTTGGCTCATCAAAAAGAATCAAGCCTGCACGTGAGGGGGCGTGTTGAAGACATAATTAAGTAAATAAAAGTGTGTTCTCTCTAAAAGCTTAAGCTTTTAGATGAGATAGATACACACTTCAACAATCCCCAGTTGGGCAATACTTCTCTTGTAATGTCAAGGGGGGAAAGAAGGTGCATGCTGCAATATATACATATATTCACATGCATCTGCCGTGACTAAGAAACCGGTACTCTTTGTATCGTAATTAAGCATTTGTTTGTACAGATTCAGTTATCAACTTCTTCAAGTTCAATACCAAGTTATTAATACTTGTCCTAAGTTCTAAGCAAAATGAACTGCTATCGCCAACTTTAGCTCCATATCCGTGGTGAAGACACACTACATAATCATGAGCCCAAGGTCAAAGATGTCAAAAGAATGGTACCAAGACCAACTATCAGAGATAAGAAGTTGATAAATGGAAAGCAAGACATGGGTCTCAAAATGCTCGTATTAAGAAAGTTTTGCTATTTAATCGACCACATTCTATTCCAAGGCTTAGGCAGATGGAATTATGGGAAAAAATTACTTAGTGTTGTTTTGCCTCCCATAGGATTTAAACCTGATACCTCATGGTTAACTCTTCTTAATTTTATCATATAATATAAAAATAATCCAAAAAGCAGAGAAGTTACTGACATCTTGACTCTCTGACGGTTTGCATTTTATTTACATGCAAGAACATGTTAACAGTAAAATCAGATGCTAAAAACACCACTTTACATGTCCATGATGCAGCTCACTCTTTAGCTTAATTTTAACACAAACATTACCATCCCCATCCACCAAAAGCAATAGAAAATAGAAAAGAGGACAAGGGGGAAAAAAAAAAAGAAAAAGGGAAAGGACCTACATGGAAATTTAGAAACAGAGAAAGAAAAGAACAAAAAGAAGACAACTTTAATCCTTCCATGGTGTAAAAAGCTACTATTTTGACTTAAAAAGAGATCTCATCCAATTCCATTCACTGCATACAAATTCATCCAGAGATCACAAAAGCAAACAGTGAAGAGAAAAAGAATAAAGTGATAGTAATTGTTACTGTTAACACATGATTTGGTCAAATTATCATAGAAGATAATCACACACTTAATCACCAAAAAAGCAACTTTTTACTACTACCACAATGAGAATAATCAAAAGCAAAAGCGCATGCGTGCATACCCACTGTGAGTCTCAATAGCTTCAATCTGTCTCAATGCGATCCACAACCAGAACGTAACCATATGACCAGGCGCAATAGCGGGCCCAATAGCTGAGGGGATCCCAAGGATCAAAATCTCTAGCCAATGCGCATACGGCGCTGCAAAGCCTATTGGAGCTGTGTATTCATGGTGAACCTTGTGAATCTTTTCATAACCCCATTTACAATGCAAGAACCTATGGATCCAATAGTTAAAATAGTCCTCCACTATAAAATATGTGCCCAACTGCAACAAAATTTCCCATAACGATGGCAAGGGCAAGCTTGTTCTAATCCCAACCATCTACATTGCCACAATTCACACACACACAAAAAAAAGGATCATAATGAGTATCTCAATTTCACAACCTTGATCTAAAATTAAGGCAAAACCACGACTTTCAATACTGAAAACTCAATCAACCAACAACAACACTAGAGATTCTTTCTATTTAGACCTATTTCATTCCTTATACTTTTTTTTGGTTTCCCACCCGATGTCCGGTACCCACGTTGGGCCCGACTAAATCTGGATTCGCGCCGGGAAGTCACACATTGGGGTAAAGTGCTTCCTAACAAAGGCGACTCCATACCTAGGGACTCGAACACGATACCTCTAATTAAGGACAAGAGTACTTAACACTCCACCACAACCCTTGTTGGTATTCCTATACTTAGCAATATTATGAGTACTCTCTAACACTAAAGATTATCTTCTTTTTTTCCTACTAACAACTCAATCAAACACATTGCTACAATTCACAACAAATTTTATGGGTCGAATAGGCAAGATAAAAAAGGGTATCTCAATCTGAAATCATTGATCCAAAGATTTAAAAAAAATTGCCCTTTTCAGTTTCAACAAAACCCCATCAAATACATTGCAAAAAAGACATCTTTTTTAGCAGAACTATGAAATAAAGTAAAGAAAAATGGAGAAAGTTACCTTAACAGAGGGGTAAGAAACAAGCTGAAGGGGACCCACAACAAGGATGAACATACGCATAACAGACTTATAACAATTGAACACCTCAGAGAGTGAAAGATTGACTTTTGGTTGAATTTTATAAGACTGAATAGAGTTTCTGAAGAAAAGTTCAAGGAAAAGGTAATAAAGAGGGACACAAGAGAAGATTAGGAAGAGAAAAAGGATATTATGGCAGTAAAGATAGTAATCAGATTTGGTTGCAGAGTAATTGAACCAAATTGTCTCTAGAGTTGTAAGGGATCTTCCAATGGCAGATTCTGCCTCTTGGATTGTTTTAAAGGGCAACATTGAAAAGGGTTTGTAGTGAAATGGGGTTTGAGTAGAACTGTAATGGAATCTTGGAAATTGGCTATGGAGGAAGAGGGAGAAAGAGAGATGGAGATTTAGAATAGAACAAGTGTATAGAAGCTAGCTAGAAAGAAGACAGGTCAATATATTTTTATAAGGTTTTTGTTGGGTTCTGGTTCAGTTGGTCCCTTATATTCTTGATGAGTTTATGGAATCACATCTGGCGGGGCAAATAGGACAAATTGAAAAAGTAAGGGGTGCAATTTTTATTTTATTTTAATTTATTTTGATCGATGGAGGGGTTGAAGTTCAGTGCCTCAATGGTTCGGATCGGTCGGTTATTTTATAAAATTTATACCATATTAATTTTTTGGCTATTATATTATATATAATCAAAACTAAATTTTTAGAATTATACCAATCATGTCGTTTTCTCTTCGATATCGGTACGATTCGATTAATTTTTATTATTTTTTAAAAAGTCATTTAAAAGTCACTAATAGAAGCATAATATAATAACATATGTACTTTTATAAGACTTAGTAAATTTTTTTAGATATTTTTACTATTTAAAGGGTGATCAATTAAGAAAACATGATAGATGACCAGAGTATAGATCCATCAACTATTCTACACCAGCGTAAAAAAAACTAAGTAAAGACAAATAAAATATAAATCACACGAGTGGAAAGATATTAAGTAAGTTGGACTCAAGAATAAAATTTATAGAAGATTAAATATTCAAAAATATAAATTTAAATCACAATCATACGAAAGGAAACATATTCAATACACTATAGTTTGCTACTCATAACCGCTAGAATACCTTGTGTCTTACTAGTGAATATGCTGGAAATAATTTAATTTTAATAGGAGTAGTATAATAGGTTTGGGAATTAGAATTTTAAGTTTAATTAATTGTTGACTTGTAGTAATCGTTTTCATAATTCCAAGGTCTAAGGAAAAATTTAATACTTTATTAGTTTTAAACTTAATATATAAATATATATTTTCCCATATAAATTTATTCGGTACAATTTAATATTTTTTAATTTATTTTCATAAAATAAGAAACCTACCCTAATTATCGGTACGGTACAATTCGTTCGGTTTAGTCAGTTTTTAAATATTCTTTGACACCCCTAGTTGCAGGCTTGCAGCTTGAAGTAAAATTAGAGATTTTTTGTATGACACACCTCCTATTTCAATTATAATATATATTTGATCAAGTTTTTAAAAATAATTTTATTTTAGAAATATTTTTTAAAAGTACTTTTCAATCTGTGCTTAGCTAATCAATTTAAGTATTTTTAAGCACAATTAATATGTGATTAAACTTTTAATTTCATTGAATATTTATAGTAAAGCTTTTGGCGAACCTCAATTAGGAAGTAAGATAAATCAACCTTATCTAGCAAGCTTGGATGTTGTTATTATTTAATTTTTTTCTTTTTTCTTCATCTTCAAGGAGATAGAATGGACACGTTAATGGAGGGAAGCAAGAGCAATAGAGCTTATTGTCACGAGCCTGTTTTCTTACGCTCGCCAGCGGCACCGAATTGCCCGTGCGGCGCCTGCAGTTCCCCTCGCTGCATGTCAACCTTCATCATTTCTCAGGTTTTCAAGCACGATCATGTGCCTGTGGTGAAGACTGCATGGAAGGCATGCTCCAATTGTGCCGCCCGTAGGATGTCTAGGCACCTGGCCTCGACATGTCGTGGCGCTTCTCGTCTTAGGATCACAATCCATGCGCGTCCTGGGGGTTGGCTAAGGACATGTCTTGTCCTTCGCCTAAGACTGAGCATCGCTTTCGCGTGCACAACCCAATCCTCAAGCTTGACATTCGCCTCGTGCATCCGCACCCGGCTTGCGCCTTGCCCGAGTAAGGCAACCTTTAGTCCTTGGCCATTTGTCATGCGCGTCTTTCGTACCATGCCCACACATAGCCCTCACGACACACTTCCATCCCGAATAGTGCAGTGTCGCCCCACAACTGCACGTTTAGGCTAACAGACCCTTGTTCGCATGGTTGAACCCAAGCCATGCTCACAAGTCGACACATGATGACCCTAAGATAGGTGCATCAAGTATCCAATCGGCACAGAGGTCTCCTTCCAAAATTTTGGCAGCCCGGGGGGCAGGTCGTCCCACACATCGAGCCTCCAGTGCCCGTTTGGTGCCCAACGCTAGCCGAAGGCATTGCGCAGTCCATAGAGTTCCCTAACTCGTATGGATGCCTAAGACACTCTTTTGAGTCATCCAGGCAGGCCCTTGAGGTTGCCCCTCAAGGTAGCTCATTTGATACAGCTTGGTGGTAGCACGTGCGGGGGAGGCAGGTCGGAGCTTTCATCACCTATACCCCCCTTATATATACTTAAAATTAAAAATCCCAAGTTACCTGAGTAGACAAGTCTACGTTAGACAATCAGAAGAGCCTTTTCTCACCAGTTCTTGGCCGAAATCACAACCCCAAAGTACGGGTTGTGACATCCTCCCACACTCATAATGTCATCGTCCCCGATGACACATCATGGCCTACGACATCTCGGAGTCTGCCCCCTCAGGTATGTACATTGCGGCTCCTTTTGTTCTGTGGGTTGGACTTCCTCGAAGTCCTGCTCAAAAGGAGTTGTGCCCCATGCACTTCTCCCCCAAGTATCCACACTTTGGGGTTGTGACTTCGGCTAAGAACTGGTAAGAAAAGGCTCTTCTGATTGTCTGACGTAGACTTGTCTACTCAGGTAACTTGAGCTTTTTAATTTTAAGCATATATAAGGGGGGGTATAGGTGATGAAAGCTCCGACTTGCCTCCCCCATACGTGATGCCACCAAGCCGTATCAAACAAATCAGCAACCAGAGGGATGGGGTACTTGTTCTTCACATTGACCTTGTTAAGGGCCCGATAATCAATACATAAGCGCATGATACCCTCCTTCTTCTTCTGAAATAAGACAGGTGCTCCGTAAGGTTCCTTGGATGGTCGTATATGGCCAGCCTCCAGCAACTCCTTGAGTTGCTTTCTCAATTCCTCTAATTCCGGGTGAGCCATGCGATAAGGCGACATGGCAGGTGGCTTCGCCCCTGGAACAAGCTCGGTCTGATGATCAACTTCCCTTCGTGGTGGCAATTGTTTGGGAAGTTCTTCCGGCATCACGTCCTTATTATCTTCAAGGACTTGCTCAATGCAGGGAGGCAATGCTACTGCCTCAAGGGAATTCTCAACGATTCCTGTCAAGGTTGCAAGAAATGTGGGTTCCCTTTTCTTGAAACCTTTCACAAGTTTCATCGCGAACAGATGCATTTTATTTATGGCACCCGAACAAGGGGCATAATGCACGAGCCTCTGGGATCGTTTATATGACGCTGGTTGATACGCGGTGCGATAAGTGCGTTGATCTTGTACCAAAAATCCAATCCCAATATGATGTCAAATATGTCCATGGGGGCAACGGTGAAGTCTGTCAATCCCTGCCAGCCTCCTAAAGAAATGTGCACGTTAGGAGCAAAGCCATGAATGGTAGTGGGAAGGGCATTGACGGTCTTCATCAGCGTGTCGCTGGATACAAAGACAAGTCCAAGATCCCTAGCTCATTCCTCCATCACGAAATTATGTGTCGCATATGTGTCTACCATGATGCGCACGTCTTTGCCGTTTAACTTGGCATCGACAAATAATGATTCACGGGGCCTCACATGAGGCGGTTGGGCGACAACAGCGGCAAGGGTCATGTGGTTTATCAAGGCCATATAATTGAACAAGCCTACAATCTTGTTCTTCCCTTGTCCCGCACCATCAGCTGGTGCACTACGCTCCTCGAGTTGCTTGCCGGTAGGCGCAACAGTTTGTCCTTGCTGCTGGTGGGCTGCAACAATTGCTCCTAGTTTGTTCAGTGTAGGGCAAAATCGAGCAGCATGAGAAGGGTCTCCGCAAAGGTAGCAAACATCCCATTGAGCATCCCTTTGCGCGCCTCCTTTCCTCTTCTCATCATAATTCTTGCGGAAGTGAGAAGAGTGGTTGCGGTTGCCTCTATTATCATTGTTCCGATTGGGAACAAATTTGCCTTTACCTCGATGGATGTCTATCTTTGGAGTAGCAGCAACTTGGCTCCGGATGTTATTTCCCTTAGACGCTCCGGTCCGAAAAGCTGACAATGATTTAGCTATTACAATAGCCTCATCGACGGTGTCGATCTGTCGCCTTTGCAATTCTTGTTTGGCCCAATTCTGCAGGCCATCCAAGAAACTGAACAATAGATCCTCACTGGTCAAGTTGGGGATCTGAATGGTGAGTGTGGTGAACTCCTTCACGTACTCATGGATGGAGGATGTTTGCCTGAGCTCCCTTAACTTTCGGCGAGCCTCGTGCACAACATTTTGAGGGTAAAACTGTCATTTTAGATCCTCTTTGAACTGCTTCCATGTGTCAATGGAGCACGTTACTTTCTACATATCTGCCTTCTTCCTGCGCCACCAAAGTATGGCGGTTGCATTTTGGATGTCAGTGCAGAGATCATGTCAAAGCAGATATTTGATAATACAACAGAAAATGATACTTGCCTCCCAAATCTTGGTCTCTTTCTTTCATAGCTTTCTTGCTTGTTTCGTGTGATTGCCATTGCTTTAGCACGATTGTGTTATTTATTGTTTAGGGCTGAAGCTAAGTAGCAATCAAGCTAACTTCGCTGCCCTCACAGGACTCTCAGAAAAACGGTTCCGTGACATTATGTTTTATGATTTGGCTTTGTATAAAGTAAATGCTTCATCTTACGCCCCATCTTTTAAAACATTGCTACTAATTGTAGTTTACTAAAATATAAACCAATTATTTATACCTCAATTTATTTGGAGTTGATCATCTGAATTATTTGTATCAATCTAAAGTTAGACTATTTTGCCCTATGCCCTCTTCCTCAACTAAGGAGACCAGAGGGACTACAACTACTCAGACGACAACAACAATAACATACTTAGTGTGATCTCACGAGTATGGTCTGGGACGAGTGGGGTATACATAGACCTTACCTCTGTCACGACCCAATTTCACCTATAAGTCGTGATGGCGCCCAACACTACAGCTAGGCAAGCCAACTAATAAGTCAAACGTACATTGATTAAACTTTTATTCCAAGAAAATAATAAAATACCAACTTCTACCAATGTGT